TTCCCTAACCAAAACGAGCTCTGTGAATTTTTTTTTTTGACCCTTGGACTTTGGCACTTTAGAAAAGTGCCATCTAAAATGAACATTCAGCTTCTCAGGGCACTTGCAGTAACTTTCAGTCACATTAAGATTAGTGGTTAAGATTTCCTTAAGTTATTCTAGCTAGGATGTATATCCGGTTTAGAGCCCACCAAAGTGGCAAAATCATAAGAAGGTTAAAGCATCTGCCAACTTGAAATGCAAGGTCTTCTGGACCTATTGGGTTGTCAGAAAAGTCATGATACATTTTTGCAAAGAAAAATACATCACGACTTTTCTCATGACCCCATATTTGGTAGAAAGAAAGAACACAGGACACTGGGAACCCAGATAGTTCTGGTTCTATAGGATTAGCTCGAGGTTTTGGACAAATTCTCTGGTACTTCTGGACACTATCTATAAAATTGTGGCGTTAGACTAGATGGTCTCGCAGGTCCTTCCAACTGAGATACTCTATGGTTGGAATTATATTCAACCCATTATTATCAAAATTGCTGTCAGACATTAACTACTATGTGCCAGATACTTCATGCAAGTATGATGTTGAATCCTCACAACCAACAAGCATGGGAGATGTTTAATGATTCCCCATTTAAAATAAGGAAACTGTGACTCAAAATAAGTTAATAAGCCTGAAGTCCAGGATTAACCTGGGACTGAATCAAATATGCCTAGTTCCATTGAACTCTGCTTGGCAGGATGCTGATGGGTTGTGACTTCATTTTTCTTAGACTTTCCTGACTATGGTATAAAACATGAATTGGCCCTCTAGTGGTATTTGTTTTAGGAACACTTAAATGGTAACAATTCTAATTCTTTCCCAGGCATGTGACAGTATTTACAAGTGCAGGGTTGCACTGGCAAAAAACAATCTGAACCTTCCAAAGATGGCAGAAAAAGATGGATGCTTCCATAATGGATTTAATAAGGTATGAATTCACCCCAGTTCCTTCTAGCTCTTTCTTAGGCAAATGTTTCTCCCTCTTGCATGCAATGCTTATATACATACAGACACAGGCAGGCAACAAAGAAAGAGAGAGACATAAAGAGCACTATACAAATTTTAAACTCTTTCAAAGGCAGTTAATTCTTGAACAGGTATGGCCAAAATTGGTCCCTCTGGGTTGGCATTTTTAGAACTATAAAGTGTTAGAATTCCTAGCAGGTCTAGCTAGTTCTTCCTCAGCAAGGCTGTCTAGAGACCCTTCTCTTCTCTGGCTCCCCTGGCAGGATGCAGGCCCACCCTCTCTATAGAGGTCATTCTCCTTGCCTTTCTCATAGACAGCAAGACAACCAGTACTCAATTATGATTATTCCATAAAAGGAGGTTTCATCCCAACAGTGACAAGGGCTGGGGTGTAGGAATCTCATGGGAGATTCAGAGAAGGACCCTCTTTGCTACATTCTAGTACCTGTTGGGCTTTGGGTAAAATTAAGTTAGTGGTGCCTCCAATTGTCTAGACATTTAAAATGTTGCTGTGTGATGTCCCGAAACACAATATCTAAGAAGTACTTGAAGATCCCCAGGGTGGCAGAGGGAGAAGATACTGAAGCACAGAAATTTTGATTTTTAAAATGGATTCTGTCTCCTAGCAATAACCAATATTGCTTACATCTTTTCTCTTAGGATACTTGCCTGATGAGAATCATCACTGGTCTTTTGGAGTTTCAGGTATATATAGAGTTTCTCAAGAACAATGTTAATGAAAAGAGCAGTGCCAGAGCTGTGCAGATTGGTACCAAAGCCCTGATGCTGATGCTGAAGCAAAAGGTGAGTGTTTCTTAATACATTCACTTGGTATATGAAAGGGATGCTTGAAGAAAATAACTTGCACAGTTCAGGGGCACAATGTTCTTCAAAAAAGATGGGTCTATATCAACAAAAAAGTCAGAAATATTTACTGGTAGTTAAAATGTTTTGTTTGTTTGTTTAGTTTTGGCTCTCTTTGATGAAGCACTATAAGAATTGCATATAAAATTATATTAAATAAGGTAGATTTTAACATTAATGTCTAATAGATTAATATCTAAGAATTAAATATCTGTAAAGGCAGAATGAAGCACATCCAACCCTGTTTGGTGATACATAATAACAAAAAATAGATTACACAAGAAGTATTATTTTCTTTTTTTTGTAGTTTTTGCTATAGTGCATATACAGTTAGTCACCTGAGAGACACAGAGAGAGGGAGAGAGAGAGAGAAAGAGAGAGAAATCATCCCCCAGGAGAAATAGGCTCTCCACAATTTCTTCTCCTCCAGTTCCCTCTTGAGATTTTGGGCACCAATGCACATGCACCTGGTGTGATTTTTCGTTACTGGTTCCAGGATTTGAACTGTGCAGTTGGCCATATGGGATCAAGCACCTTAACCTCCATGCAACCTGCTGGCTCCATAGAAAGTGTTTTAATACTTTAATTGCTGCCAAGTGTTATTTTTGTCTTTATGGTTGTTTCAACTCTTTTCCCTATCTTTTCTTTTTTCTTTCTTTCTTTCTTTTTTTCTCTTTCTTCCTTCCTTCCTTCCTTCCTTTTTCTTTCTTTCTTTCTTTCTTTCTTTCTTTCTTTCTTTCTTTCTTTCTTTCTTTCACCAGAGACAGGGCAGGGACATGGCCAAAGGCTACAAGCTATTTGAGGAGATACCAAGAGCTTGGATGCCTACCAGCTAGATATTCAAATAGCAGACAGTGAGGGCTCAGTGTGTGGATGAGCTAAACAAAGTACAATGAGAAGACCTGGAATGAAACGCTCCATGCTAATCCTGCCTCTGCTATTTCTAGTTGTTTTTAAGCAAGGCTTCACATGCTTTAATATATACAGGAATCCCCTAGGGATCTTGTTTGTGATGAAGAGTGATTTAGCAGGTCTGAAGTTGGGCCTGACATTTGTATTTTGAACAAGTTCCCTGGTAATACCAATGCTGCAGTATCACAGGACCACATTTGGAGATGTCAGGTCTTCCACAATTTATTTATCCCCATTTCCTTGGGTCAACAGAAAGGTATATCCCTGACCTCTTTATACCACCAGAGAAGCAGACACTGAAGAGACAATAGAGCATGAGAGGAAAACTGGAGAAAAGTATTCAATTTAAGGGTCATGGAAGAAGTCACTAAAATACCTTTAGTTATGGCTTCTTCATTCTTCTATTGAATTCCAGCTATGCCAGGCAGTGTTTCAGATAACAAACTAGAAGACAAATAAGATAGTGGTCCTGGGGACCAGCAGATGGCACAATGGTTACATCAGTGGACTCCCACGTAGACGACTGTGATCGAATCCCAGACCTGGCAGCTTAAAACTCAGACACACATATGTGCCCAAAATCCCAAGAGGAGAATGGAGAAGGGGTTGTAGCATAGCCATCCACTCTGGGAGTGATTTCTAATTTTCTGTCTCTATCTCTCTGGTGAGTGCATATGCCCTAAAGTAAAAATCTCTCTTAAAAAAAAAAAAAAAGGAGGTGCTAGTGGTGCTGCTCTCAGGATGCTTATGATTTAATGGTAGATAGCAGCAGAGGGATGTGTCATCAGTATTAACTAACTTTGTAGAAATAATAATGAATGCAGTTTATTTATGCAAGAATTTGAATGACTAGCTCAAAGAAAGACAAGTATATTTCTTGGGATGCTGATATACAGAGGTTCCTTTTATATAATTTTGAGGACAGGAGAGTTGTCAATCAATCAGCATAAAGTCTTTTACATTGGGCCAACCCAAAAAGGTGGGATATCTGGAAGCTAAGGCTTGTAGGTTATAGGTGAGTTTGAAATTCTTAGATTAGTAATTGGTTAAAGAAAATCACGGGTTTCTGTTTCTGAAAGAAACCAGTGAAAAGATGTTTGCGATTTACTCTATGAGAAAAGAAGGCTTACTATGCATCATAAAAACACTATGCCTGGGACAGGAGGTAGCATCCCACTATCAATTGTCTGTTAATGTTTGTAGGCCTCAATGTTTGTCGGTGTGACTCTCCCAGGCTTCCTGGGAAACAAGTTTACAATAGGAAAATGTCATAATTTTGTCCTCAGATGGTTAGAACTTAGTTGCTATGAAAGGGCACTTTTCATGGTGGGCAGGAGTAAAAACACCTCCCCAACCTGGATGAATCAGAGCAGGCAGATCCCATTTATGTCATTCAGCTCAGATTTGAACATCTCACTACTAAATAAAGGGTAATTTCACTATTTAAACAATCATTTTTGCTATTGTTTCCCTTCAGGAAACGTATCCAAGTATAGTTCCCACCCCTGACCCAACTTCAAATGCCAGCTTGATGGTGAAGATGCAGTCTCAAGAGGAGTGGCTAAAGAAGGTGACAGTCCGACTCATCCTGCGCAGCCTGGAGGATTTCCTGCAGTATACTGTGAGGGCTTCTCGGCTAATGTAGTGTGGTCATCTCAGATTTTTATAGACATGGACATTCCTTCCTTTGGTCAGAAACCTGTCCATAGGCCATATAACTTATATTGTTCTCCATGAAGAACTAAAAGTATAAGCGTTAGGACACTATTTTAATTATTTTTAATTTATTATATTTAAATATGTGAAGTCAAGTTAATTTATAGAAGTCATATTTATATTTTTATAAAGTGCCACTTGAAATATTTTATGGATTAGTTTTGAGGTAACAATGTAAAAAAGCTATAGTTTAAATATCTTCTGATTCAGAGCCAGATCATTTCTTGGAATGTGTAGGCTTACCTCAAACAAATTGCTAACTTATACATATTTTTAAAAGAAATATTTATATTGTATTTATGTAATGTTTAAATTGTTTTTATACCAATAAATCACATTTTAAAAAATATCAGCAATAAAACCTGTGACTGTCATGTGAAGCTTAACATAAACAAGTTTCTTATCTGTACCACCACCATCAAAAAAAATTATAATCAGTTGGAATAAGATAGAATTAAGTACCTACTATATATCAAGCATCGTGCTACATGTGTTACATCATTTAATCCCAGTACTTACACATTCTTTTCTAGATATGCAAGAATAAATGATTTACTAAATAACATAGCTGGAAGGGAAGATATGTACCCAGATTTGGAATTTAAGTCTACCTACCTCCAGGTTCCCTACTCTTAACTTTGAACCTTGATGTATCACTGGCTCCATGGAAATGATTTAGAATGATAATTCCTAAATCATGTTAATAAAGGAAATTCATTTCAAAATGCAATCAAAGCATTTGAGATAAACTGACCAGGCATATACAACATGAGAAAATACAAAATTCCAAAAAAAGGTACAAGTTTTTTCTGCCTCATCTGAGTTCCTCAAATGCTGCACATACTTGTCTGTTACAACATTTATCATGTGGTACAATTGGTGCATTTTTCTTTCTAACCAGCATATGGGTTACACAAAACAACAGATGCTAGGGTATTCATCTTTGAATCCTGCCCCAAGGCCAGAAATTGAACAAAGAAGGCCCCAATAAACATTTATTTAGTGAAGAAAGCATACACATATTGATGATCAAGTATAAACTACCTCATCCTGGAGGGCATACAGTATTAGAGGAAAATGTCAATTCTGTACACTTATGTATCTCCTTCTTAAGGAAAAACAACAAGAATTAAAAATAAGCATTCTATAGACTTTAAGAGGAGGCCTGACTAGTGGGTACATGTACATCAACCTTTCCCAGGAATATTCTTCATCTGCCCTTTCCCCTCTGTCGTGACCTGCACAGCTAAATGTATTTTCTGAATGAGGAGGCTGTGGATTAGAAATACACATAAAAATAAACACACAAGACATACAAATAGAGAAAAGTGGGGGTCAGGTGAGCCCAATGCTTTGGATGAAGGCAGGCAAGATCTCCCAGGTTTACTTTGTAAAGGGCAGAAAATAGGGAAAGAAGTGAAATACAAAGCCAGTTGTCTTCAGATGTCAATTGGCTAAAGATGCAGACACCTAGTACCATGTAGTTTCTCTGATCTTTTGGGCCCAATTCTGATTACCCGATACTGCCTTACAGTTTCAGTTTCAGATAGAGACAACCAGCATATTCACATGTTAATGACATTCACTGTTTTGCAAATGATTGCCCATAAAAAACAGATTTTATATGCATCTAAAGGTCATCATATTTACTCAAAATACCTATCATCTACACCCTCCCCATTCAAGAGTGGTACAGTGAAGCAATTTGGACAATTTAACATAGTCCCATCATGCCATCCCAATGCAACACCAGGACTTGGTTTAGATTTCCCCTTTCTAGCCCCAGCATCACAAAAGTTCTGTTTTCTAATAAAGCTTTCCCTATCCTAACCACCACAAACATCTTCCTCTATAGAAGAAGTTCTACTGGGTAAGGGAAAGTCCACAGAAGCCAAGAACTAAGAGGACCTAAGCAACAGAAGAACCACATATTCTGATTTCTATAAACCAGGCAGCACAAGTGAGCACTCCTATATTTGAGTCAAATCAATAACAAAGAAAAAGAGCAGTCAATCAATGGATCTATTCTTAAGACAAAAATGTGTTGAGAACAATATGCAAATGAGGTAATGATTGTGATGAAGAGGTGAAGAGTCACAGTCACTGTCCTTGAGCAGTTTGCACAATGTCTGGAAAACATTGAACAGAGTGTTAAGTACAACAGGGTTTACAAAAGAGAAATGTGAAATGCACAGAGACTCTATACCAGGACACCAATAGCATGAGGACTTCACTAAGCCTGGGGAAGGCAGCCATGGAGCTTCTTTGAGGAAGTGAGGTTTTTGGTTGAGATGTGATAGATATGTACGAGTTAGCCTGGCCAAAATGGGCAGGAAGATTATCTCAGGCAGAAGGAGCAGCACAGGCAAAGGTCTGAATCAACAAGAAGCACACTGTGGTTAAGATACTGAAAAGTGTATTTTTCCATTTTTTTAAAAAGCAGAAAAGAGAGTGATTGAGATGGAGTGGAAGAGGAAGGTAGAGCCAATTCAACAACAGCATCACAAGTCATTTTCAAAATTTTTGAATTATTCTCACATTTAGTGAGGAGGAATTAATGCATTTTAAGCAGAAGAATGGCATAGGAGACTCACATTTTATTGTAATTCCTCAAGCTGCAGTGTCAAGAGTGGATGAGAAAGGGGCTGGAAGAGGACATTGAAAGAACTTTCAGAGGCTTTCACTAGTCAAGGAGACAGATGACAATATCCTGAATTAGAGTGAAGGCAATGTCAAGGGAAGAGAAGGTGATGGCAAAAATAAAACATGGTGATAACTAAACAAGATATATTGGGTTGTTGGAAATGTCTGACATATTTTTTTCTGTTTTTCTATGCAAAAATGTATCATGACTTTTCTAACAACCCAGTAGGAGTTTCAGAAGACACTATAGAGATTTTGGATTTTGAGTGAGGAAAGAAGTAAAGATAGAATTAGAAGAGTAAAAATACAGAGAATTTAGGATTAGAGAGTATTCACTTATTCATTTATTAAAATATTCTCCACGTATATGCCATGTGCCAGCTTCTCTGCTGGGCCCTGGAGCTGTAAAAGTGAGTAAGATTGACAAGGTCTCTGCTTTCAAGGTGCTTATAGTCTAGGGCAAGCAATTTAAAGAAACGATTACTATGTTAGGTCCTAAGTATATGCTGGTAGTATGAGTTGAGCTGTGTCCTCCAAAAAGATATGTGGAAGTCCCGATCCCTGCCAAAGGCAACCTTATTTGGAAACAGGATCTTTGCAGGTATAATCAAGTTTAGAGGAGGTTACTAGTATAGGCCTTATGAGAAGAGATAAGACCCAGAGAGATACACAGGGGAGTTCATGTGAAGAGAGACAGTAATGGAGAGATGCATCTGTGAGCCAAGAGATACCAAGGCTTGCCAACAACTACCAGAAAGAAGGAGGAGGCAAGCAAGGATCCTCTTCTATACATCTCAGAGGGAGCAATGCCCTGCCAACATCTTCTCTTCAGAGATCTAGCCTCTAGAACTGTGAGAGAATAAATTCCTGTTGTTTTGAGCCTCCCAATTTGTGGTAATATGTAAGAGTAGTCCTAAAAAAACAATACAGATATCACAGCAGCACCCACTAGGACAGCCTAATCTAACTCACAGGGTTCCAGAAAGGCTTCCCAGCAGAAATGGTATTTTAGCTTATAAGAATGTAGAGGATTCAACCAGCTGAGGAGGCAGAAGTCTTCCATAGGTGAGCACAGTGGGTACAAAGGCTCAGAGGCGGGAGACAACATGATGGAAGAGTTTAAAGAAACCTAAATGGCGGAAGCACAGAGAGGCAAGAGGCAGAAATAGTGCTATAATAGCAGGGTCCAAGTCATGAAAGAAAGTAGAAGCTGGTTCAAATAAAGTTGCTACATACCATAAAGATAAAGAGTAACATTCTTGGAAGGAGTTTTTGATTTGGGGCTTGTTTGCTTGCTTCTGTTTTTTTGTTTGTTGGTTTGTTTTAGTTTTAGTTTTTTTGCTATAGGATCCATTACAGAAAGTGAGAAATCACCCCACACCAAGAGTTGGCCACACCACAGTCTCTTCTCCTCCATCCTCCTCTCAAGATTCCGGGCATGCATGTACATGTGCCAAACATGTTTTTTAAGCTGCCAGGTCTGGGACTCTTAACTGTGCAGTTGGCCATGTGGGATCCAGTGCCTTAACCACCATAACACCTGCTGGCCCACTTCTGTTTTTGTTTGTTTGCTTGTTTGTTTTTCTTTTTAATCTTGAAGGGTTTCTCAGTTTCTTCTGGTGGCATGGGGTCAGGAGGTTGGGGGAGCAGAAGATGAAGAGATGTAGTTTTTTACAGTAGGTCCCAGCAACAAGGTGGATGGGCTAGGGAGGAAACAGGTAAAAAGGAGAGAATAAGGTGTCTTTGTGGTAAATGTGCCCTAGAAATTTGAGGCTGTGATGTCAGGTAGTCAGTTCTAATTTATCTTCTCCCTTACTGAAAGCATTTATCTTCTCCCTTTCCGTAAGCGTTATTCACTAGCACAAAGCAAATACCTGCCAGTTGTATGCTAACCTAACTTTAAAGGATGAAAAGAGCTCCATACCCACATTTTGAGGCAAAATAGACAAGGGATGACTAAACTGCAAATGATTTAGAGATGAGACCTCAAGAAGTCATCAAGCAGAAACCAAAGATAAGAGCAAAAAGTGAGAGACAATAATCAGGACTAATAAGACCTAACCAGAAAAACAAAAACAAAAACAAACAAACAAGAATATTCAGAGATATTTGGAGAGATTTGAAATTCCTGTGGTAATTTTAGGATGAAGACACTGACCATTATATTTGGATGCCAAAGGAAATAGTTATCTTCAAATGCCAGAAGCCTGAGGACACTTAGATTACAGTATGAATATAATGCAAAAATTTGCAAGAGAGAAAGCTGGTAGGGTTTCTGATACCAAGTTCAGTTTCAGGTGAGCAACTGATGAAAAAGAAGAGACACAACAATCCCAAATATGCCCACATGCTGTGAGAGAAGACTGATGATGATGATGATGATGATATAGCCATAATGAGCACATACTACACGTCTAGACAGTCCAGAGATGTATATTCACCAAAGAAACAGAGAAACTAAACAATCTGTACAAAGTCATGAAGTCTGTAAACTCCATAGCAGTCTTCTATTCTTTCAAATCCATTCTCTACTTCTCTGTCATAAGGATATGTGACTGCCCATTGTAGATGCTACATTTCCCGTCCTTCTTTGCAGTTAGATAAGGCTGTGCTAGACAGGTAACAGAGCAGGCCTAAGATTGCTATATTAGACAGGACTGCTCACAAGTTTGGCCCTTGGCTGACATCTGGGAATCTGA